GGTTGTCCAGAGCAAATCTCAGGTCTGCATCAAGAGCTGGAGACAAACGTCAGATAACAGATTTAGTTATAATTCAACAAACCACTGAGGGAGTTCCAGCATCTGACGTCTCCACTTCAGTGCTCCTGGATCAATCAGGGACCCAGGTTAACTTATTACCTTAACCTTAACCTTGATCTCCGCCCTCCACCAATGAATACGGCCCCTGACTAATCAGTGACCTACAGTGCGCTGATGTCACATCTAGACCCAACAAGAACCAGACCTGGGACCTCAGAGAAGTAGGTCCCAAAAATGGGGTGGGTTCCACCACTGACGGCATTGTGGATAAACCACGCAATCGGCCCGAACTAGTTACATAGGAGCCCCAAAAGGCCCTGTGGATAAGGGGCTTTAGGGGTGGGTCAGGGGGTCTCATTTACTTGCTAGAAGCATTTTGAGGATCTCGCAGACGGGTTAGGAAGTGGAGGAAACATCTGGATCCCACCTGCTGTCATGACACAAATAACATCTACTCAGACAACAGTGTTTGTTTCACCTGATCTGTGGAAGACTCGGGCTCTTTCTGGGGTCATGACCTTGTTGTGGACACACAGGCTCACGGCGGTCTCAAACTCCTTCCTCACTTCTTCCTGGTTATAGCTGGTGATGCTGTCGGCTTCTCCCTCCACTTCTGCCTGCCGAGCAAAAACAGCCAACACACGTAAAATACAGGAAGTTCATCCTGGTAAAATGTCACCAGCTAAAAGGTTCAGTGCTTAAACTTTTTTTTTTCCTGCTCACTATCTGAAAATAAAAAAAAAAGCTTTAGGATCAGACAATCGTCACCGTCTGAGAAACCTTTAGGCGGTAGGAGGGAGGAATGGTGTTCTCGTCCCTCTGGTACGCCGTCTCCAGCTGCTGGGTGGAGACACCCACCTGCTGGCTCTCCTGCAGGAGCAGCTGGTACTCTGACACCTCCACCTGGGTGGGCAGGCTGGCAGATCCATACTGGTGTCCTACCAGGGCCTGCAGCACCACCATGTGGACACAGACGGAACAGCAGTCAGATATTCTGAAGTACATTGAATTAACTACTTTACAGAACGGCTATGAAAGTGCTTTTGCAGCTCAAACAGACTGGTTCAGTTTCTGATAAGTGTGAAGTTTATGCTAAAATATGTCAAATTAAAGCTGGTGAAAAATCTCAACCTTCTTTGTGTACTGAGGTCAAAAAGGGACTTGCTGCTACATTCATGTCTGTCCACTCCTTATAGTGGTGTGGTCCACATGCACACGTCCCCTCAAAGCCTAATCTGGATACAGTTATCATGGAACGTTGAGATTCACTTCAATTAGTTCAGTTTATTTATTTAGCTCCAAGTCACAACAGCAGTCGTCTCAGGACACTGAACAGAAATATTCATGTACCGTATTTTCTGGTGTATAAGTCACATCAGTCAAAGAAGCATAATGAAGAGGAAAAAAATATATAAGTTGCTCCGGAGTATAAGTCATGTTTACTGCTGACCCCTGGGAAACGTGGGCCAATGCTGCTCCAAAAATCGATTGGCAGCTGCAGGAGTGCGCACGGGAGGACTCGCTGTTGCAGTTCTTCAAAATTTAACAAGATTAACATTTAAAAACAATTATTTGTTTGCTTGACATTATAGCAAAGGTGTGTCCCAGTTTAACTTTTCCTTAATGAATGCACTTTAATGGTCAATGTTTGGCGGTGGGGCGGTACAGGAACAACATATACATCTACCGGTAGTTGTTAAAAGCCTGGAGGGCCCTCTTGCGCCTCTAGTGGCTGCATAAGGTAATGTCTCCTCTGGTTCATGTCAGTATGAATGAACATTTAAAGCATCAGTCAAAAATTGTGTCGTGAATATGAGAAAAAACCTATTAGTCGCTTCGGCGTATAAGTCACAGGACTGACAAATCTGTGCAAAAAAACTGAAACTTATAGGCCGGAAAATACGGTACATAAAAAGCCGAAGTTGTCTGTCTGAGGAAGCAGCAGACTGAGTTGAATCTTCTACATTTCATTGCAGATGTTTCGTCTCATTATGATTTTGATAAAAGTTCACAATTGGTATGTGTGTTTTGATTGCTGTAACTTGTCTTAATCTGTCCTAATGTCCGTCTTCAAAAAGAGATTTTTAATCTCATTGAGATTTTTTCCTGGTTAAAGAAGGTTGAATTAAAAAAAAAAAAGATTATGTGACAATTTAGTTTTAAGTAAATTTGTACGCGTTTACTTTTTAGGGAACGGTTTTTGCTCTTTTGTCCACTCGTGTTATTAGTGAGACTTGGAGTTACATCATGGCCAGAATCTGTTTGATGATGAGTGACCAGCGGCAGCATAATCTAAATACAGAGAGGGAACTGCTCACTTTGTTGTGTTTGGTGTTTAAATCCAGGTTTTTCCTGTCATCAGGCGATCTGACAAACTTTTATCCACCTAGAAACTGACATTTGTTTAAAGCAATTCAAACTAAAAGCCTTTAACATCCTGAGACCCTGCGTCCTCATAGGAGGACACTGATTTATTTAGACAACTGCTTTTCATAGAAAGCTGGAATTATGTCTTTTAGAGTAACGGGGACATTCTGATCCTAATTTGCAAAGAAAATATAAAATACAAAAGTGATAAAGTAGTTCTCATCTGAGGACATCATTTTTTTCTAAAACTACTTCCTTGTACCATGACAGAGTCTATATTTAACTTATTAGGTCCTACTAATCTCATGTACCTTGGAGAAAGAGAACATGCACACAAAAGCTTGGGTCTTAGGAGGTTAAAATGACAAAGAAACACTTCAGCTGAAGATAGTCTGATTTATTTGTTGGTGCTGATCGTTGTTTAGGACTGCACCTGAACGCACCGTGTTTGTTGTTCTGTCACATTCTCTGGTCATTTACCAGTAAAAAGGGTCCAGCTGAGCTTTCTCTGCACCCCTCGATGAGCTGCTGTCTGGTGTTTTCATCTGGCCAACAACTAGGATCACTGGACTCAAACGGGTCGATCACCTGCAGAAGCAGAACGGAGGTTAAACAATCCAGAAAACCTCCCAGCTAGCATCGAGATGAAAAGGCCGAATAGTGTCTGAATGACAGATGATGCTCGCCACAAGCTGCTGAACAGAGAACACCACACAAAGGGCCGATCGACTCGTCCTGAGGTGCTGCATCACACACGCACGCACGCACGCACACACACACACACACGCACAAGCAAAAAACACAAAGCTGTCCTACAGCTGCGTGTTGTCTTTGTTGTCTGATCTAATTAAATGAAGCTGAGCACAATCAGCTGCTCAGTGACAGAAGTGGCTTCAGGCAGAAAATATAACAAACACTCTGGTGTTGGTGGTGAACACGGTGTCACACGGTGTCACACGGTGTCACACGGGCAGCCACTACTTTCATTCTACTTTAAATTAAACGAGCATGATTTGAAGGATTTCTGAAATGTTCAGAACACAAGTAACAAAGAGCAAAACAAAGTTATTTTAAACTAGAGAAATTGCATTTCCTGTAAAAATGCAGTGTGAATGTTATTGCAGAAGATCTTGCTGAAAAACAGCTAAAATTAGCTAAAAAAAAA